AAATTAATTATTCCAACGGAAAATTGAATCCAATAAACAATAATTTTATTATCATAAAATAAAGTTGTTGTTTTTTTTGTGGGGGATTGGGGTGGATCAACCCAACATTTCCATAATCTCTTTGTGAATAAGCGACAGTGTCAAAGATTAAAGTTATATGTGAAGAAACGTAATTGAGGAGTTTTGAATTATATAAAACCTTTTTCTCAAGAAATATCTTAGAATAAAAAAACTATCTAATGAGATTTTTTTATGCTTACCTATCATGTGGTCTTCCAACAGCCAAACTAAACATCAGAAGAAATAAGAACAAACATGGAACTGATCTCGCCAGTAACGCCATCGGTTGATTTTCAAGATCGTTCTGTAAAATCTTGAAGAACGTAATTTAGTTCGGGTAACCCTCGTTCCTTGTTAACTTCTCGTTTCGAACGTTTCACGTCGCGGTCCTTCTTCTGCCGGCGAATCTGAGTTGATGCAATAAAATCGACTTATTAAATAATCTAGGTATTCTTTTCTCCGCCCTTTAGCAATCACTTCACTTATCAACCAATAGAAAGACTATGACGTCATTAATTGAAGCCGTGACTAGGCAACTTTATCAACAGTGTAATGTATGGCAGGTTTTTGCTTGATATGACATGTATTTTTATAACAAAACTACTTATTATACTATTGTGTACGTCAAAGTCAATAGATGATTTGTAAACGCAAATATTTAATACATGTAAGGTTTCTAAACGAATTTTGTTTCGTATATATTTTCTATTGCTTGTAACTCTGTCTTTGTTGTATAAAATATACACAAATAAGATAGCTCGAAACAAACTACCGTATTTAAAATAGACGTCTAAAATTTTCTGATTGCACAGTTTTTAGTATAAATCTGTCTGTATGGATACTTTATTATGCGACGTCTACACCATTCGTTATTAATATTTCATCACTTTTTTACTTGCTTTACCAAATTGTCATCTATTGAAAGATCGAAAGAGTGAGATTTGAGCTCTCTTTAATTCAACACGTATTTCATCACGCCGTGTAAAAATCAAGCGTCATTTATACGATATAAGTATGACTCAGACTTCAAGTTACAAGAGTCTGAAAAAAACTTTGCTGCAAGAAACTTGGTGAAAGCACTGTAATATACTCAATGTATATGTTACTTTTAAATCATATATTCAGGATCTTCACAAATGAATAATGCGGCTCAAAGACACCTTTCAGCTTACTGTAATAATTTATACACGTTATCATATTGACGGAGGCTTTTATTGATCAGAAATTTGGAAATACGCATTATAATCTTCAGTACCTCATTTTTGTCCAGTCTTATACAATAGCTATTTTCTACATACACAACGGAGCTGCTACCTATTGAATTACCTCATCAAATGTTGTAAAAATCAAAATTGGATACGTTATTAGAGGACACAGTTTGTATGCATAGCACATATGTACAGTAAGAGGACTGGAATGATTTAATATTATGTCAGAACGGTTTTTGTAAAAACGTTTTATTATTAACTGTATTTGTAATTAAGCATTACTATTAGGCCTATTATATTTTTAAAATGAATTCTTCATCCAGTATGGCCTAGCATGGCTAGGTGGTTAGGGTGCTCGACTCGCAATCTGAGGGTCGCGGCTTCGAATTCCCGTCCCACCAAACATGCTCGTCCTTTCAGCCGTGGGGGCGTTATAATGTTACGGACAATTCTACCATTCGTTGGTAAAAGAGTGATGACTAGCTACCTTCCCTCTAGTCTTTCACTGCTAAATTAGGGACGGCTATCGCAGATATCCTCGTGTAGCTTTGCGCGAAATTCAAAACAACCAATAATTTCCATTTAGTCCCTTATAATTTTTCTTTGAAATCTCTAAAGGATTAGATAAATAATGTACTGTTAAATATAAAATAGGCCTAATACTGACGTCTTCTGAAAAACAAAATTAATTATAATCATGCTTTGCCAACTTGGAAAAGTTATTCACACCATAACTGATTTATTGTTTGATTCACCATTTTTCTTTGACTAGTTATAGGTAGTCAATAAACGGCAAAGGAAAGCTTACCATTGACCTATAGCTGAGTGTTTAGTATGTAGTTTTTAATTATAACTAAATTTTCTTTCAACTGGAACCTCTTTTATAAATGAAAAACGCATTTTGTATTTCTGAACGTTTCAGAATGGCAAAAGAAACAGTAAATATTTGGTCATGAAGAAATTCATGTCGCCTTTTTTAGATGAAAAAACCC